TATTTCAATAATACAATCCTTCTACAATGATAGCCGAAGCCGAGTCCAAGCTTACGGTACTTTTTCACCCCAATTCACCAAGGAAGGTGGTGTTCGATAGCGTTGTCCACTCTCTCTATTTTACTTTCTATTTTACTTCGTGATAGATTTAATTCTTGAAACAGCCCTATCCTCGTGCGAGGATAGTGGCATAGATTTACTTCCAGGTGGCAGGCTGTCTGATCTAAAGTATGCAGACGACATTGTGCTAATATGTGAAGATCCAGGTAAGTTACAAACCTTTCTGGATAGATTGAGTGCTAGTGTAGCCATGTTCGGTATGCGTTTTGCACCTTCAAAGTGTAAAATGGTGCTCCAAGATTGGGTTGGTTCAGCACCCAGTCTCACCCTCACTGGGGAAGTAATAGAGCAAGTAGATAAATTTTGCTATCTGGGCAGCTATATCTCACCTGGCGGATGCATCGCAGATGAAGTGTCGGCGTGCATACAAAAGGCTCGGTTGGCATTTGCCAATTTGAGGCATCTGTGGCGCCGTCGTGAAATTCGGTTGTCTGCTAATGGTCGAGTGTATGCCGCGGCAGTTCGGCCAGTTCTGCTATACGGCGCAGAAACATGGCCATTCAGGGAACAGGATATAGATAGACTGTCGGTGTTCTAACAACGCTGTCTACGCAGCATTGCGCGAATCTGGTGGGGCAGCCGGACGAGCAATGCTGAGGCTAGGTGCAGAGTTTTAAGCAGCCGCTGTCGTCCACTGGAGCAAGTGATTGACCTCCATAGATTACGTTGGTTGGGGCATGTGTTACGCGTGTCACCAAATAGGTTGCCATGGCAAACGATGTTCCCCCAGGCAGGTAGCGGTTGGGAAAAGGTCAAGGGTGATCAAGCTAAGATCTGGCACGAGGGTATTTAAACCCTAACTAGGAGTCTGCGTCACATAGGTTCCTGGATGCTGACCTCGGGATGATCATACCCGACGGTTTGAGATACTGAATGATATGGCTGGGTATCGTGAACAGTGGCGCTCGTGCATTCACTCATTGTCTCCTTAGTACCACTTGAGTTTGCTTCCAACAATGCAACTTCCATTCGTCTCTTTCATCGAAATAGAGCACCAAAAGACACCAATACCGGCGCACGAAAGTGCATGGTTAATGGTTGTAAAAGCTGAACTGAACTGACGAACACCGCTCCTGGTTTCCAACGACTCGCTCAACCCACCACAGTCCCTTGCTCTATCCAAAGTATGCAGGTACATTGAGTTCAATAGGTTTCTGCGGCATTCCTTTGCGAAGCAGTGAAATTTTTAGGGACTCACGGTCAACTGAATCGAAGGCTCCTCGTAGCACAAGGAACACTGGAATTTTTGGCCGATGTGCGTGGTGCAATTCGAGGAATTTACTCGGGGTAGAATATTGCCTTATTATCTGTGTTGAAGGCGGCATTGCTGAGTCCAGTTAGGATCTAAAGTGGGCGTTTCAATGATAAGACCACAAATAGGGAGACTGGAGTGATTGTGATGAAAGCGCATGAAAGGAGAGCGATGCGGAACGATTGTGTTGAATCCGCTTTATCGATTCTGATTGAAAACTTGACTTTATTATGCAAGAATGCAGGGTGTATGAGCCTTATAAAATAGAAACAGCTGGGGTGTGGGAAAGAATGCAATTTGAAAAACAAAAAGATGTGAGGCAAATGGGGTCACATGCGGAGACCAAGACACAGACGAAGAATAAAGCCAAAGGATAACATAGGAAACCGTGGAACGGCTGCACATGGTAGGAATGATAAGGTATAAGATAGCGACGCAATCTAAAGGAGCTTATATGGTAAACAAAACAGTTTAGAAATTGGATGTGAGTGGGGATAGCCAAGTTTCGGATAATAATAGCGCAAAGGAATAAGAGGACTAAAGGAAGTGGTGAGAAGGAATAATATACCAGTTCAGGACACCAATGTAAATGTAAGGGCAATTTCTATTGTCTTAGTTGGACTGCCAGAACGAGCGTGATTTTTCGTGGCTGTCCATGATCTATAGTGCAGTGAATGAAAACTGGTCGAGGGCCTCAGCAAAAGAGGACTTTAGTGGACTTATTGGGTTAGGCTGAAGTATAGTGTGCGTATGTGAATTCGAGCATTGCACCTGTATAAACGCAAATGTCATTAATTGAAACATCCCCTGTGATGCTAGCCCCATTGCTGGCCATCTCACTCCAGACAATCTTGAAGCAACATTGTGATGTGATGTAGCCCACTCACCCCCCCCCCCNGTGAAGAAATACAAGAAAAAAGACTAACGGGGTTGACGCGGTCTGTAACGCAGATTCTAGAAGCCCGTGTGTGATCATAGCCAGTGACTAAAAGCTGGCTTAAACTATCTCCAAATAGCTGTTGTTTCTGTCACACACCACATGTGTGTGGCTAGCTGTCCTTTGCGAAATTCATAACCAAAAATGCATACAAGATGGACAGACACGATGTATGCATATCACATTTGTCTGGCACCTTCATAACATTAAAATTAATCACGGAATGCGCCGATTGATTACGAGCACAATGTAGGCGAACACATGTTTTCGGTGAATTCCTTTTCAAGCCTCTACAATCACATTTATATGAAACCATTTCAATGGGGTCAAACAGACAAATTCACTTCAGCAGGCAACTGCCCGTCGGTCAGCTAAACTTTTGGAACCCATACGTCAGCGTGTTACCAAGCATACACTTGGAGATACTTTTCAGTTTGCTGAAATAACCAAAAATGTGAACAGTAAAAACCGACTAATGTTCTCCTTGGATGTTGTTTCTNTTTCCCCCCCCCCCCCTGTTAAAAACGGTTGATTTCATTTGCGAATTTATCATCACTGAAACGACAGCCGTGGGCATTCCTGTCACAACTCTCAAAGAACTCATACCTAAATGCGCACGAAATGTACAATTTTTGTTTAATAACACTTGCTACTGCCAAGTCCTTGGTGTTGCTATGGATTCACCCCTCGGACCTGTTATCACTGACATCTTCATGGCCATGTTAAAGATAACTTCCTTATCTACGGCTATTAGTCATTTTGAACAATATCACCGTTACGTAGATGACATCTTCTACGTGGCTAACAAGAACACTGATCTTGCCCGAGTCAGAATTCAACACAGCACATCAATTAAGTTCACAACGGAACCAGAAGAGAATGATTGCTTTCCATTTTTGGATGTTCATCTGAATAGACGCCCCGATGGTTCTATCCAAAAAAGGATAAATTGAAAAGCAACATGGAGTGGACAGTACACAAATTTTCATAGCTTCGTCTCACTCTATCAAAAATGTAACCTCATGCGCTGTCTCCTGAAGAGAGCAAGGCGCATCTGTTCAGAAGATAATTTAAAGGACGAACTTAAACTAGTGAGAACCTTACTGGAAAATGGCAACCCTGAGAAGTGTATCGACCGTAACTGGAATGAACGGAATAGGTAAAACAAAACTGCCCAAAGCGGATTAGAAAATGGTTTTATAAAACTTCCATTCAAAGGCGATGTCGCCACTGAGAGGGTCAGTAGAGTTTTATCCTCAGCAGTGAAATCTGCATTCAATGCTGCGCAGCAAAGATGTGAGTTCTCTACGTCACCAAACATCCGATGCTTTAACAAGGATAAACTCTCCATGTTGAAATTCATCTACCAATTCAAATGCACCTGTGGTGCGACTTATGTAGGTCGAACGACAAGGCTGTTATCTCAAAGGATCAAAGAACACAATCCACGCTGGCTCACACAGGGTGGGAGTGGAGCTGTGTCAAGCTCGATCGTTGTTTATCTGGTAGAGACGGGACACTTGGTTGACATGCACTCGGCATTTACAATCACTTATCGAGTCTCACCACACCCCTCGAGAGCAATACGGTTTCGGACGTTAGCAACCGCAGACGCGACTAGCATCCGACTTACGAAGCCTGAGCACAACGGAAATTGCTTCAAGCTCTCTCTCCCTCTGGCCAGGGGAAGAGAAAATCGCTTGTTCACACGACCATGACGCAACCGTTTTGGTTACGTGATCCTAACAGCTCACAAATTTGTAGTTCTCTTGGGCTCACTGCCAAACACAGGACTCATCCACCTTTCTGTTTGACCCTAGTGAAATTATTTCATATAAATGTACTTGTAAAGGCTTGAAAAGGAATTTACCGAAAAAATATGTTCGTCCACATTGTGTTATTAAAATCAATCCCTGCTTTTCGTCATGCAAAGGGTAAATGAAGCGTGAACTGAAAAACAAGGAATTACAGCTGTTTCGACCTGGTTGGGTCTAACCAGGGGTGTGAATCTATCGACCCGACTGGGGGTCGAACCCAGAACCTCTGCCTATGATGTTCTTCGTTTTTCAATTCACAATTTATTTGCTCTTTATACGACAAGGTTCATCACATGATCAAACCAAATCCTACAATTCTCTCATGTAATCCCTGATTTATTTGTGGTTATAACAGCACCACATTTCTCAAGGCAACTGATATCAATTCACATTGAATCACCCACACAAAAATAACTGCGCTTGAAGCAACAATCCCACAGATCATACGAGTAAGCACTAAGTTTACCGTTATGCATGGGTTCAAGGAGGAATCCAAGAGAAAAGTTATGAACAGAGCATAAAGTGGTACATTCTGTAACTGCGCCTCTTCGACAGAATGTCTCACACAGTCTAACGCTATTTGCAGTGCAAGAGGGCATCGAACGAAAACCCATTACGTCCTCAAATCGTTCCAGATGGTTCGCGACTGTATTTTTAATAACATAATCTATCTACGATTGGGTAAATGAGTGATTTTTTTGGCGACCAGGGGAGGCATTGATGATGTGCAGCTTAATTGACCGTAAATCTGTAGTGACTAACCACTTTTATGACATGTAATGTAACTGAACCAATACTCATATTAAGGAACCGAAACAACTGATTACTTAATAATAACGTATTAGGTTAGACTAAACATAAATGGTGCACTTACGCATATAATCTACATCCATCCATACGTCATATCCCTTTTTTCTCAACTCGTCGCGAACCTTCAGCATGATTGGTTTGGTGCTATGCTGATAGCTGATCATGATATGACCAATCAGTCTGGGATGACGACGATCCTCGGCCATCATTTCCTCAATGCTGTGAGGGTGTTGCCCAGTAAGACCACCGACAGACGTGCCGAGAGTCCATAAAATCCCTTTAGCCACAAGCTGACAATCGTTTGACCATCCTCGCTCCGTGGCGAATCGCTCAAATAAGCGTCGAAAGTCAGAACCCGGGGCTAAACTTTGGTGACTCTCTGCAACGAAGGACAGAGCCCACAAAAATTCCAGCGTTGCCACGGCTAATGCATCCGGACTCACAGCACTTTCAACTGCCTCCTTGGGAAACTCAATTGGAGTGTACGGGTATTTCATTTTCACCGCCTCGTTCAGGGAAGTCTCAATTACTTTTAATGCATTATTTCTAATTAACAGGCGTTTGTTTCGATCAGGTCCGGCCAAATGCTGTAAACCTTGTAGCAATTCGATTGCACGATATCCATAAGTTCGTGAGTAGTAAGTTGGGGGGAAATACAGTGCGTCTTGTAATGCGGCTAGAAGATAGAGCATGTGAACTTCCGTGGCATGAAGAGTATCATTCTCACACTCATCCACCAGGAATGCAAGCAACAAAAGAGCAGATATACGCAGTGATAAGTAGTGTATGGTTGAAGTGTTGTCCGCAGGTGAACCATTTTGATTGGAAAGTCGCAACACATTGAGGTCCCCACCGGTAACAAAGGCGGTCAAAGCTCGCACAGCATCGGCGTTCCGATAAGCTCCACGAGTTTGGGGTATGTGGTTGATTATATTGTGTAAAATACCAATACAGGAATGAACTAGCAGTCGTGCATTCTGCTCAATGTGGCATACGGAAGGATGAAGNTGTGGTTTTCGCAAAAGTGTAATTAGGTGAAAATGAATCTCAGCTGAGACGAGTTTAAAGGCGAAACTTTGCAACCGATCCGACACATTCCACACTAGCATATGCAATTTTATCAGATTGGCAACCGGGCGATTTTTCGGATTGCGCAAATAGTCGCGGTCTTTTGGGAAACAAATTAATTGCAAATATTGTCGGAAATACTGTACAAATGCTTCCGAGTCTACCACATCGGTGAGCCACGGGTCTAGTATGGCTTTCGCCACCATAATTTGGCTTTGATTGCGCATATAGTTGAACACATCTCGTGTGGTATCATCCAACAATGTGTCCGACGGATCGCGAGAGATACATGCCTTGAACTTCTCAACTAGCGCGTTCCTGTCTGTAGCCGTGGCTTCATTGTCCTCGTTCTCTTCGATAAAAAACATGAAGCTATTGTGCAATTATTTGTTTAATGGGCACCGACTTGTATTGTGAGCTGCATCTAAAAAGTAAGTTAACAACATTTTTTAGTAAATAATCAGTTGAACACAGAAGAAAAAGTTGAAATATCACATAGAATGAAAAAAGTGTTTTTCGTGGTTACTCAGACTTCACTCCTCTTTTTTTTACCTTCATTCATTGGTTTTATCTGGGCGGTTTAGCCTTCGATCGAGATTGTTGGATGCTTGAAGTAACGATCACCGATTGTAAGACTTAGCTCCGTTTTCGGCATGCGCACATGCGCGGACGCATACGAATATACGGATTCAGTTCCTTAGAGGCCGATAAAGATTTGTCTGGGTTGCTTACGCCGTCGATCATTCGGTCACAAAGGGTAAACTCAAAAAATGGATGCCTGGTTGTTGGGACGCAACTTGGAGATGACCAATTGATTCTGGACTATAATCCATGAGCAAACACCAAACGTTTGTGAACGAACACTGAACAACAACGGCAAATATAACAAAGTGGGAATGTAGTAACCATCAGGTGACGTTGCTCACCTGTGTAAAAACATTAATTTCCTATGGTATGATTTTGCCCACTTCGCCGACGTCTCAATTCTGCACCTTGGTATATATTATAGAAAACTCCAAGTCATGTTACTATGTTCCCGAAAATCGTTCAAACAGTTGTTGTGAATCATAGGACAATGTGAGATGAAGAATTGATGATAACATCAACATGATGCTAAAAAATTACATCAAATAATTTTTTTCCACAAATATATGTGACGTCCAGCAGGATAGTCTCGATACAGGATGCCCCAATGATCCCAAATGATAGATATTCCACAGGTAGTAAAATGGAACACATCTGAATAAAGATGCGAACTGATGTATATGCATCAAAAGCATCAAAAGTTAGCGGAAAGAGAGAACGCCACGACGTGTATATTCACGATAACCGACTGCCTGTAGTTTTCAGGGACTCGGATTGATCGTACATTACAATCGACCAAAAGAGTAAACCTCACTTTAAAAACTACCTTACTGCGCTTGGCTCCTGGGAGAGGATAAGCCAGCTTCATCGATATACCGAATTGCCGCTGCCCACGCTCAGCGG